ACAACAGGACAGGAATCTGTGATTGGGCCACAAATCTCCAGAGACTGGAGGCAGACCCAAAGCGATTACAGCAGCTCTCAGCATGCAGGGCATTTACACGAAAGAGTTGTGAGATGCTGGGATGCTGACCTAGTACACTGCTCTATTTCTTTTAGTAGGTTTTGCACTTAGTAGGTGCTCAATAATTATTCGTGGCTTGCTTGATTTTATAGGGACATTTATCGGAAGCCTCACCTTTCCAATAAAAAGTCAATGGTTTCTTTCTGCAAATAATTCAATGCCCTCCCTACTGATCTCTCAGAAGACTAGCTTTAAAAAATGATGATGATCTGCACTTCTGTCGGTTTTTTTCCAGGAGTCAGAAAGGAGCTCTTTGTTGAGAAACATGCATCCTGCTCCCTCAGCACACACTGATACACCGAGCAGCAAGGGGAGGAAGATAACGAACAGAATGGTGACTCGCTCTGGCCAGAGAAGTGAGCAAGGAAGTCAGCTCCCCAGCAGCAGAGCCAAGAAAGTAGATGGAGGAGATGCTGCCAAAGATTCGGGCCCTTCAGGCAGCGCCAGGGTCTGACCAAGAGAAGACGCAGTCAGGAGAAGCTAGCACAAAGCTCTCTGGGTGCAGCTGTGGGACACCTTCCACAAAGGAGATGCAAAACATGACCACAAGCAAGGGAGCTCCCCATGCTGTCCTCCCCCGGGAAGCTTCCACCAGGAGGGCATAGGCATGGCCCAAAGAACAGAGCCAGGACACCTTCCCGAAACAGGGCCAGAGCTCGATGGCTGTTCCCTACGCTCCTGCCCTAACAGCTTGGTTTAAGAAGGGAGTCGTCCAGTTCCTTATTAATAGCAGTAACACTTACCAGTTAGAAGTAATATTTCCAGGTGTTCACTATTTAATTAATACTCCTCTATAACATACACATCTTAAAGATATGTTGCATCATTATAACCTTTGTCTATGCTTTCGGTTTCCTATTTACTAAGTGGAACACATTCTTTCTTCTCCAACCCAGATAGAAATTACTCCACATACATTCATACTCGGCCCCTTCTCACATGTCACAGTCTTTTAATAGTAACTAAAACGTGCTTTATGTATACTGCATCTTGTTACAAAGGGGATCTGAGATAACTAACTAAAATACATATGAAAAGAAGGCTGAAAATTAGATTTTTTTTAAAGATTTTATTTATTTATTTGACAGAGAGAGAGAGCACAAGCAGGGGGAGTGGCAGGCAGAGGCAGAGGGAGAAGCTGGGTCCCCACTGAGCAAGGGGAGCCCAATGCGGGACTCGATCCCAGGACCCCGGGATCATGACCTGAGCCAAAGGCAGTCGCTTAACCAACTGAGCCACCCAGGCGCCCTGAAAATAGAGAGATTAAAAAAAAAATAATGCTTAATGAAAATAAGCCACGGCAGTTAACACCGGCATGGCCCCTGGTGCACACGGAGGCTTCCACGTGCGGTAACCACATCCCTTCAGGTGTCCACTGCTGCGCATCCAGGCAACAAGTCTGGGAAGTGGGCATAGTCTCACCTTCACAGACCAAAACACAGAGATTCAAAGGCTATTTTGTATTTTGCTCAAGGCCTCAAGAACAGTTGGATCACAAATTAGAAATGAATATGGATCTTCCAGCACCAGAGCCCACGTTCCTCTAATCCAGTAGGACCTAGGTTTCAGTCCGGCCTCTGCCATCAACTGACTGGGTGCTGAGCGAGTCCCTTCAGCTCCAGACCTCAGTCTTCTCTGCACCAGGATGGGGTGACCAGGACCCGCTGCAGCTCTGATCATGACTGGACTGGTGGTCACCTGCCATTTTGCAAACTGACGGCTTACACCTATGCAGGCTCTTGCATTTTTAATGTTAGGAGTTTATTTCCAAGAGAACTACTTTTTGTGGACGTAACAACAAGGTTGTAAGTCAAGCTTGTGTTTGTATCTGGTTATAAGGTTAATCCACAGACTCATACAGCGTCAGACTTAGAAGGGATGGAAAGACCATATGGTCAAGTCCCCTCATCTCCATCGTTAGGATCATTTTCTAGATTACAGACACATGGCAGGTGTGCCTAAATATGCTTTTACTGATAATCACATTCACAGGAAAGTTGGAGGCAGATTCCAAAAGCAACTTTTAGACAGCAGGGAATTCAGTATATTTTAAACACTAAATGCTGAGATGGCATATTTCAGGAAAGCTTCAGAGGCCCCATTCTCAGCCATCTGAAGTAACCACACATCGGCACTGTCCTAGAAGTTTCTGCCTAATTCCAACCTCCACAAGTGAAGAAAGACAATCAGAAGAAGGTTCCAAGAAGATCTCCAATGAAAAGCAAAACACTTAGGTAGAAATTCTAAGCCCTAAAGAACTAAAGAGGGTAGCCTTAGTGTTCATACTAATTGCTAGTGGTTGCCATGGCCCTGAGTTTACAGCAGACCCAGAGATAACCAGTGCTGAGCAACACTGTGGAGCCAGAACTCCAGCTCTCCCGTCTGGTGGCTGTGTGACCTTGGCTAAGTCAGCCCTCGGAGTCTCAATGCCCTCCCCTGTGAGGAGGAGACAACACAATCTGCTCCCTGAGGCTACGAGGAGGACTCACTGCTCAGCAAATGCTAGCTGTCATTACTGGTGCTGTTACTTACTAAGAGGAATGGGCATCAACTACAGTAGCAGAGAAGGACCTATTTCTGCAAAAGAATTTGTTATATGAAAATAGATTACCAACGGTGACCAGCTAAGAAAGAAAAAGTCTTAAGGCCAGCCTCCTGGGAAAACAAACTCATATGTTAAATGGTATCTTGGCATCTCTCCTGGGCGGCTAACCAGGGACACCTCGCTCCATAGGTGGTGGTGCTAGAGAAAGCACGAACAGCATCAAAGCTGCCTGTCCCCACAGGACGAAGGAAGTCTGGGCAAGGTTCTTCCTCCCCGCTTTGCCAGCCAAGGTGCAGGAACTTGCTCTCAGGGGACTCTCTCCTTGCACATAGCACCTGAGACGTCTCTCCAGGACAAGGCAAGGAGGATGGCTGAGCGAGCCCGTCTCCTCCTGGTTGTCCCTGGGAGGGAGGACTTGGCAAGAGTCCTCCAAGGAAACCCAAGACCTCTACCATGCCCTTCCCTGGTTTTCCAGGTGGACTCCCACATCGGGCTCCCTGCTCAGCGGGGAGCTTGCTTCTCCCCCTGCCCCTCCCCCTGCTCATGCTTTCTCTCTCACTCTCAAATAAATAAATAAAACCTTCCAAAAAAAAAGTAAGATTCTCAAAATAAATTGTGTGGAAAACATCAGTGTGTCAAGCATCATACGCCCGCTGAAAGAGTCTGACAAAGCAGATGTTTGACTTTGCTGTAAAGCTGATCATGAGCTCGCTGGCTTTCTCTCAGCAAACACTTAAGATGTTTTTTCTCACCCCTTTTCTCATAAGCCAACAGGTTCGCCTTCCTACTTTATCCTGAAAGCCTGGAAGTAGCCAGAAAACCAGGACACTTCAATAGTAGTCCCTGCTTCCTGGGAATCTACAGGATGAGCTGATTTTTTTCAGAATTACAAATACTTCTTTCTCCTTTCAGAGAAGAGAGTCTCTGATAGAAATCAACCTAAAACCTGCCCCCAATAATAAAATCCAACTGGCACTTTGAGACGCTTGTAGGGGTCCAGGGAGAAGATCCGTAAACCACTGCATTTTCTTTACACTCATATTATTCTGAGTTCTCACACACATACGCTTTAAGATCTCTTTTAAAAAGGATGATTCTCGGGCACCCAGGTGGCTCAGTCGGTTAAGCATCTGCTTTCGGCTCAGGTCATGATCCCAGGGTCCTGGGATGGATTCCCACATCGGGGCTCCCTGCTCAGCGGGAGCCTGCTTCTCCCCCTGCTCGTGCTTTCTCTCTCAAATAAATAAATAAAATCTTTCAAAAAAAAAAGTAAGATTCTCAAAATAAATTGTGTGGAAAGCTTACAAAACTGCGTAGCCCAGTGGATTACAGTGGACATACTAATGGGCTGAAGAAGTCTGATCCTGAAGGGTAGTGAGAAAATCCAAAAAGTGGGGTAGCGTGAATATTAAGAACTTCCCCACACCTAAAAAATGCAAAATGGAATAGAATTGCTCGGAGGACAATTTTCAACTCACATTTTTCTAGAAGTGGGCATAAGAAGGTCAAAGATTTGCCCTAAACTCCCAAATATGTCTGTCCCATTGTGTTGGAATCAATGCCCAGCTGACAAAGCCTGAGCATGGTAAACATACCCAAAATACGAACAGTTGTCCCAGAATCGTAACACTGATGGTCGGAAGGGGCTTGGCAGTGATGAGAGTCAGCACTTGTGTGTCTGCACTCCCGCAGCATGGGGACCCAGCCTGGGAACGCTTTCCCCGCCTCCATCTGCCGCTCACACACTCCAGGACCGAAATGGTTAAAGCTGAGGGAGCACGACAGCTCTAGAACAACACTCCTTCCCTGACAGTGCAAAATACTTTGTTTTACCCCAGATGTTAATTTAAAAGTTACTGGTTGTACACTAAGAGTATGAATGATGACCTTCATTTTCAGCTAAAAAAAACACCCCAATTTGGCCCAGAATGACAGTGACTTAATTCCTTTTCTTGCCTTGCTTCCACGCAGACATACAGATGATAACACTTCTCCCTCCCTGGGTGCAAATTCATCACTAGCATTACTGCCAACCAGAAGGCTGCACCCAGCACGTTCTACGCTGCTCAAAGGAAGTGGGGATGAGCCTGGAGGAGGTGAGACCTCACACCGTGAGCCCCTTGTGATTCTGACTCCAGCCAACAGGGTCTTTATGCAAAATGATAGTGAAAAAGGAGAAAAGTAAAATCTCAAAACGCAAGCGAATACATGCATACTCGTTTACAATCCCTGCGGCCAACCTCGGGGTCACGTGACGTCATGGGAGCGTGAACACCTTTTTGCGCCGTTGGCATAAAGTGCACACACGTGTGCTGAGCTGGTCCTGTGCGCATACTGTGTGCTCTCGGCAGATCCAGCCGCTCTGGGTAACGCCTTACCTGCCACTGGTTTCCTGCCTGCCCAGGCACATAAGGTGCGGGGAGGCTCCGGAGGCTGTTCTTCACGGGGGACCCCCCGAGGGGGCTTCCCACGTCCCCAGAAGAGGAATCAGCAGCCAAGGCCATGGAGTACTGCGGGTAGTTGTACAGATTGTTGTAGTACGGAAACAGAGACGGCTGGTAAAAGCTACTGTAGTAGGTGGGGTCAGACACCAGGTCAGGTGTGTTCTCCACGTGCCCTCTGCTGGTGACAGCAGGAATATCCTGGATGACCATGCGTCCCTCTAGAAAGAAAGAAAGACCACATGGTATTAATGTGGGGGTCCACAAAGCTTTCGCTCGAAACCCTGGCGACCTACGGCCTTCCTCATCTGCCAAGGGGCAGAGCAAGGCTCTGGGACATGCTGCTTCCTCCTGGGGCCGAAACGAAGGACAAGTCTGTAAGGCTGGCCCAACTAGTGACACAGCTGGTCAACCCCTGCTGGTTAGTTCTTTTTACTGAGAATACCCAAAACATTTTAGTAACATAAAGCTTGACCAGGTCTAACTTCTACCCAGATAATCCTATCCTAATGTTAGGAAATTAGAGATCAAATCTAGTTAACTTGGCTGTCTGCATCATTTTTACAACAAAATTAACTGTACTTCACTTTAAATAAATAGAAAAATCCCAGTGCCGTAACTATGGTAGTCACGTAGTTATGTCAAAGAGCCAAAGTGAAAGGCTAAGAGTTGAAGCAAACATTGTTTCCTTCACTTCCTTCCACGGCTGATACTGTATCCTTCAGGAGTCTGGACAATGGTATATACCAGGGGTAGACAAACTTCTGTAAAAGGTCAGTAACTATTTCAGGCTTTGTGAGCCATTCAACTGAAGAATGTCCAGGTTGCTGAGTGGTTGTGTTGCAGTAAAACTTTACTCACAAGCGCAGGCAGCGGGCCGAAGCAGCCCAAGGGCTGTAGTTTCTCAACCCTGGCTCTAGATTTTAAACTGTGACAAGCAGACTTCTAAGTCATCTCTCCAATGGACGTCCATTAAACAATGTTCAACGAGTGGGTCCACGTGCCTGAAAGGGCTGCAAGGTGTCAGGATGCCCCTCCCTAGGGAGTCTACAGTCTAGGGCGAAATGTGATGGGATTACAAATAACAGCAAGGATTATCACACAGGAAGAACCATAAGCTTTTATGGGAAATCTAAAGGCTGGAAAGATGACTTGCAGCCTAGAAAGGATTACAGAGCTCTTGGGGGAAAAAAAACTGCATCCCAGCTGCACTTTAATGGAGGAGCAGAACGAGGTGGAGGTGGAAAATGAGAACAAGCGTCCTGAGACAAAGGAATGGGAGCAGGAAAGTGGGAGGGTTTGGAGTGCTGGACAGGGCAGTGGGGTCGAAGAACTGGGTGGCGGGAAAGGGAAGGAGAGATGAAGCTGCAGCAAGGGGTGGGGAAGCCTCCACCCAGCCCTCTGGACCCTGCAGGGTGTGGCAGGACCTGGGAGGATCTCTGAGCCAGGAGCAGATGGTCAGATCTGTGTTCTGGAGTGCTTGACCTGATGGCAATCTTACGACAAGCGAAGGAAAGAGAGACCTGAAGTGAGGGGCCTGTTCCATGCGCCGGGAGACAACTCAGCAGACCTGGAGGGCTTGGCTGGACAGACGAGGGGGAGAGGGGAAGCTGGTGTGGTAGGGGAGAGGGAGGCAGGGTGCTCTGCTGAATGGAGGCGACCCCGGAGGCCCACGGAGGCTACCAATGAGGATGCGCAGAGCAGAGGCTCTGAGAGCCAGGAGCCCAGGAGGTGCTGGCTGCCTCTGAGGAGAGGAGGAGGGAGTCACTGCTACAAGAGTATGTTCTGGGAAAAGCAAAGGGAGCCGGTGGTGGAACCGGGAGAACGGAGAACACACTGTCACACAGGCCAAAGTTGATGTGGATCCTGGAGGGACCAGGATGCCTTGTCAACTGATGCCAAGAGATCAGGCAAATCGGTTCTGGGAAAGACCAACTGAGGGCCAGGTCTTCAGGGCCCTGTGGTTTTTGCACAACGGAAGGAGTGGAAGCTTGCAAGAGATGGAGGAGCAAGTAAGCAACGAGGAAACAGACCAAATGAGCAGAGCCAAGAGCTTTCTCTTCGCCAGAAAGTCAGTCCAGCAAGCAGGCAGCACGCCTCCGGGCTCACCTGTGCATCCCCATACCTAGCTCAGTGCGGGACACGCAGTGGTCAGTATTTGCAGGAGGGATCAATGTGTAATGGTTTTCCAAGTAGCCAGACATCAAAATAAATGTGAGGAAGACACAGAAGCTCCAAGGAATAATAAGATGTTATTTCATTTTAAAAGCACAGGTAAGTGGAGAGAAGCCAGTGGACAGAAATTCCCCAGCCAACGCATGGCCCAGAGCAGGTGCTCAGACTGTCCACTGGCTGTATGTGGAAGGAGAAAGAGAAAATATAAAAAAGGTGCAAGCTCTGGAAGGTATCTTTACAATCTCATTTTAAAGTCAGTGCTAAAGTCTCTTTTCTCTGGAAGAACACCAAATCCACCCACCTTAACCTCCTGCCAGTGTTCCATCAAGCCACTATTTTATTATACTTCTTTTTCTTCTCTTCTCTTCCCAACTAATGAGATGAGAAATTCCAATTTTGTTATTCTACACTGCATTCGGAGAAGGCACATGCCCATTCCCTCCTCCTGAACTGCCCTACTTTTTCTTATTTTAAACACCAATTTCATGGCCTAACAGGTGGTTTTCAGTAGCTGATTCTTTTGTGTTTAATGTCATGTCTTCATTGTTTTCCAGATTACATAAGCAATATAAATTTTGCAAAAATGACAAATTATATGGATATGTAAATCAGAGAAGGAATGAATGACATATGCTTTTTAAAATTTTTTATTTAAATTCAATTTAGTTAGCATACAGTGTATTATTAGTTTCAGAGGTAGAACTTAGTGATTCATCACTTGCATATAACACCCAATGCACATTCCATCACGTGCCCTCCTTAATGCCCATCACCCAGGTACCCCACCCCCCAACCTACCTCCCCTCCAGCAACCCTCAGTGTGTTTCCTAGAGTTAAGAGTCTCTTATAGTTCGCCTCCTTCTGTTTTTATCTTATTTTATTTTTCCTTCCCTTCCCCATGTTCATCTGTTTTGTTTATTAAATTCCACACGAGTGAAATCATACAGTAGGTCTTTCTCTGCTGACTTATTTTGCGTAGCATAATACCATGTAGTAGTTCCATCCACGTTTTTACAAATGGCAAGATTTCATTCTTTCTGACTGCTGAGTAATATTCCATTGTATATATGTACCACATCTTCTTCATCCATTCACCTGTGGATGGGACATCTGGGCTCTTTCCGTAGTTTGCCTCTTGTGGACATTGTTGCCATAAACATTGGGATGTAGGTGCCCCTCTGAATCACTATGTTTGTATCCTTTAGGTAAATACCTAGTAGTGCAATGGCTGGATCCTAGGGTAGTTTTATTTTTAACTTTCTGAGGAACCTCCACACTGTTTTCCAGAGTGGCTGCACCCGCTTGCATTCCCACCAACAGTGTAGGAGGGTTCTCCTTTCTCCTCATCCTCACCAACATCTGTTGTTTCCTGAGTTGTTCATTTTAGCCATTCTGATTGATGTGAGGTGATGTCTCATTGTGGTTTTGATATGTATTTCCCTGATGCGGAGTGATGTTGAGCATTTTTTCATGCATCTGTTGGCCATTTGGATGTCTTCTTTGGAAAAATGTCTATTCATGTCTTCTACCCATTTCTTGACTGGATTTTTTGCTTTTTGGGTGTTGAGTTTGATAAGTTCTATATAGATTTTGGATACTAGCCCTTTATCTGATATATCATGAATGATACATTTTTTTTTAAAGATTTATTTATTTATTTATTTGACAGAAAGAGACACAGCGAGAGAGGGAACACAAGCAGGGGGAGTGGGAGAGGGAGAAGCAGGCTTCCCGTGGAGCAGGGAGCCCGACGCAGGACTCGATCCCAGGACCCTGGGATCATGACCTGAGCCGAAGGCAGACGCTTAACGACTGAGCCACTCAGGCGCCCCATGAATGACATATTCTTAACCACTCAGTCACAAGCATTGGTGGGACATCCATATACAATCCCACAGACATTTAGGAAGGCGTTTTAGATGTTTATCCGTGTCCCTGCAGTGGGAAAAACTGGATACCCCCTACGACCTGCCCTTCAAAAGCAAGGTTCTCAGTAAAAAAAAAAAAAAAAAAAAATACATTACTTAAGAGTTAAATAGAACCCCAAGAACACAGGCATTCTAAGATTAGGACACAGGTTCATGAATTTCTGCATCACAACCTTAGTCAGAACCTTTTATCAGGTCTCAGCTTTATCCAGCAACAAAATGATTTCCGTAATAATTCTCAAGGTAACAAGAGGATGGCTTGAACAAACTCCACAGTGAACCTCAAATGAAATGCTGTGTCAGGTCAGAGCAGGGATTTGTTTTGCTACAGCAGACTGCAATTAGCTAATGATGCCATAACTTTCCCACTTAGCCATATTTAATTTCTTCTTTCAAATTATATTTATGTTTAAGAATAAATAGAGATACATGTTGGGAAAGTTTCATTTCATACCAGTATTTAAATAATAAAAATCATTTGAGCTCTTTAAGAATAGATACCTAAATATTTTCTAATCCTAAAATGTTTAAGCACTCTTAAATGACATTTTAGGGGTACCTGGGTGGCTCAATTGGTTAAGCGTCCAACTCTTAACTGCAGCTCAGGTCATGATCTCAGGGTTGTGAGAGAGCTGGGCATGGAGACTGCTTAGGATTCTCTCTCTTCCTCTCTCTCTGCCCCTCACCCACCACTCTCTCTCTCCCTCTCTTAAAGGAAAAAAGAAAAAGTGACATTTTAAAAAGGTCTAGGGACATGTGGAACTACCAAAATATCTTATAAATCACAAATTTCATTTTCAAGTTGACATCAAAACTCTTGGTCAATGTTAAAAACAGCTTTATGACTCTCAGCCTCTATGTGCATGCTACTAGTACATGGAAGTTTCCTAAGGTTGAAATAAACATCCATCAAACAGCAGGTGTCTAATCCAGTGGTGCTCAGAATGTGGTCCTTGCATCACTAGCATCAGCACCACCAGGGAACTTGCAGAAAAGCACACTCTCGGACCCCATCACAGACCCACTGAATCAGAAACTCTGAGGGTTGGGCCCAGCAGTCTTGAGTTTTAACAAAGCCCTCAGAAGGCTCCGATGCACTCAAAGATCAAGAATCACTG